GGGTGGCCCGGGCGCCCAGGCTGGAAAGCTAGGTCTCAACCCTGATAGGCATCACAATTGAGCCATGAATGTCAGCTATGGTGGTACGGGGGGGGTTTGCACGGCCGGGCGCCCCGAGCGCCCTTCCGGGTGACCTCGGGTGGCCCGGGCGCCCAGGCTGGAAAGCTAGGTCTCAACCCTGATAGGCATCACAATTGAGCCATGAATGTCAGCTATGGTGGTACTGACTGAGAACTCAACCTGAGAGCTCTGTTAGGATGTGTATTGGGTGTGTCCCGACCGGCCGCAGCCACTTCCACTTGGCCCGGTGCTCCTGCATTGCCACGGGTTACAGGGCGGCACAACTTGCCCCTGCGAGTTACTAGTGTTGACTGGCCGTGGTCGCCAGTCCTCCGCAGGCCACTGAAAGTGACGGCAACTGGAATATAACCTAGCACCTACGCGGTGCTGCTCAGGATCATTCGAGCTAGCCGACAGGACATTTCAAGGATCACCCTGATTCAGACGTGTCTCTATTTGGGCAATCCTTGAGATGTTGTGTATATACCCTTGTCATCCTCTTGTTGCATGGGCTTAAATCTTTTGAAGGGCTTGGAAAACTTGTGCCCAAGTCCTCCCCTGTGCCAACATCCCTTGAATGTTGCCTACTGGTCTCAGCCACTTGCCCAACAACAACATTGAAGCTGTATAACCACTGCAACCCCACCATCTGCCTCCAAGCACCCCCTCCCCCGGTCTAGCTCCCCCTTCCCCCACCAGGTCACGTACTGTACGACATACACCAAAAAACAAAGTGTGCGCCGCACAACAGAAATCACAACGTTTACTGTAGGTATGGTATCTATGGATATAACATGTCGCTGGTGACTAGAAAAAGGTGAAGCTGGTTTCTCTCTGCATTTCGCTGCTCTCTGGTACATTTTCTAATTCTTAGTGGTTGGTAGGACAATGCCGATGTCTGTCAGGTTAGGAGTTCAATATGTGTCAGAGACTCGGTTCGTGGTATCGTGAAACAATGTCAAAATAATGGAAGAATCTGGGTTAGACCGACGCCCTGTCCAGACGGACTGGGCCTGACGGAC